GTTTCTAACATGCATACTTTACTGCAAAATAGAACGATGAACAATAACCATTTAATCACTTAAAACCAACAATTAATCGCAATTAATTGACGAATTTTGATGCTCAGGAAAAATTAAAACAGTAGTGCATATAAGAGACAAGAGCAACCAACACATCGTCCATTAAACAGCGCTTCGAATACAACTCTTCTGGAAGCATGAAGAACCATGCGTGTGAGTTGATTTTTCTTTTTTCTTAAAATTCGTCAATTAATTGCGATTAATTGTTGGTTTTAAGTGATTAAATGGTTATTGTTCATCGTTCTATTTTGCAGTAAAGTATGCATGTTAGAAACACGATTTCAATAGTAATAATAATTCTCTATAGTCTCTCAGAGCTTTAAGCCGAAGAGTCCAGTAAACAACTGTCATCAGCAGATCAAGATAATGAACTTACTGAAGAAGATACTACTGATGAAGAAGAAGAAACAACAACAGAAATGTTAGACGATGTGGATGAATTAGATATCGATTGTGGTGGTCGTGTTGAAATGAGAATCACTGAACAAACAGCAAAACAAGGAAAATGTTATTTATTTTCGATTAAATCAGGACATTTAGTTTTATATGATGCGCATAAATCAATGAGAAAAACATCTGAATTAAATTTAACAGCCGATAGTAATAACATCTCGAAAGAACAACCGAATACAGTTGGATATGTTTCTGTGTCATTACCATATCAAATAGAAAGATGTGTACATATTCCTGGATCGGAGACAATTTACGTGTGGAGTAATGAAAATGTTTACAAAGTAATTAAAATCAAGTTGAGCTTAGCCAGCAAGATTGCATCTTTAAATGCTGAGAAACACACATGGTTAGATGCCGAATAAATAGGAGAACATTTCTAGCCACTCGACAGACCTTGGAGTTACTCTAAGAAAAAACTAGGTCGAATCTACTGTAACCAAAGTTCTTCTCTTCTTTCTTCAACGGTGTATTCAATAATACTGTTTAAAATGTATAGTGTCAAATAGTGTGGAGACATATCTCGATCGGGTTGTACGTCCCTAGCAGGATCTCCTTTTTTACAGTAAAACTTTTTAATATCCCGATCAGGATATACTTGAGGTTCTCGATTGGGAAGAAAAATAGTAAAATTAACTGTTAACAAAGGACGGGGGCGATTATTTGATGAAATCGGCCCCTGCTCGAATTCCATCGAAACGCACATGGTTAGATGCAGAATAAACAGGAGAACATTTCTAGCCACTCGACAGACCTTGGAATTACCCTAAGAAAAAACTAGGTCGAATCTACTGTAACCAAAGTTCTCCTCTTCTTTCTTCAACGGTTACGATCTTGTGCTCCACACTAGACCACTAACCACGACGATACATATACCATTCGATAGAGAATTTCTCGCCCTACAACTTCACATATACAAAGTACTGAAAAAACTGTCCTAGGCAACCTTGACATTAGAAATACTTTATGCAAAGCGGTAGCACGGGGGTGATTTATTCAACCGAGACGATCCTGTGCTTCACACTTGACCACTATCCACGACGATATATATACCATTCGATAAAGAATTTCTCGCGCTACAATTTCATATATACAAAGTGGTGAAAAAAGTGTCCTAGGGCGTATCCTTGACATTAGAAATACTTTATGCAAAGCTGCAGGTAGTGGATGATCTATTCAACGATGACGATCCTGTGCTCCACATTTGTCCACTAACCACAACGATACATATACCATTCGATAGACAATTCCCCGCGCTACAATTGCATATATACAAAGTAGCGAGAAAAGTGTCCTAGGGCATCTTGACATTAGAAATACTGTTTGGAAAGGCGTGAAAAGTGGGTGGCTTATTTCACGGTGACGATCGTGTGCTCCACACTTGTCCACTAACCACGACGATACATATACCATCCGATAGAGAATTCCTCGCGCTACAACTTCATATATACAAAGTGGTGAAAAAAGTGTCCTAGGGCATCTTGACATTAGAAATACTACTTTATGTAAAGCCTCAGCAAGGGGGGATTTATTCAACCGAGACGATCCTGTGTTCCACACTTGACTACTATCCACGACGATACATATACCATTCGATAGAGAATTTCTCGCGCTACAATTTCATATATATAAACTAGTGAGAAAAGTGTCCTAGGGCACCTTGACACCCAAGCAAATCTCACCTATGAGAAAAATCTAGATACATTTCGTCTGTAATCGGGCGATACCCGACTACTTGTCATCTAGATTACTAGTTGGAAAAGGGACTTTTAACTAGATGCGTCTACAGGCGCATCTAGCAATAGTTGAATCGATCGATTAGCGGGTGATAAACCAATAGTTGCAACTAGAAAAAATCTAGTAATCGCCCAATTACTAGATTTTCACTGTCGTTACACAGTAGTTGCAATCGAGTAAAAATCTAGTAATCTAGATGAATCGGGCGATACTAGATTTTTTTTTGACGCTTGGGCATTAGAAATACTGTCTGCAAAGCCGTGAAAAATGGGTGGCTTATTTCACGGTGACGATCCTGTGATCCACATTTGTCCACTAACCACGACGATACATATATCATTCAATAGAGAATTTCACGAGCTTCAAGATGAGCGATAAACAAGTCTTTTAGAAATATGCCCACATGGATCAATAGTTGAAATACTTGTCCGATATAATGATTTTGACCTATCTTAGTGCTTTCAACACTCCGTTAGTCGTTTTTCTGCCATAATGAAAATTATTTATTGTTCCAAAACATACCACTGGATAGCCCTTAAAATTCTCTACAAAGTGAGCCGGTCGCAATATACAGACAGGTGGGGCCTGTCATTAAAGATATTGAAAAGAAACTTTTGGGTGTTATCTAAGCAGTTTTTGTTTTCTCACATGCACTCTTCTCATCCTTCTGCAAAGCCTGTCAACGGTAAATACCTGATTGACGATGCTTCGATTTTAACTAAAAGTTAAAACAAGAAGAAATTTTGTCAACTCTTTAATTTCAGTACATATTCTAGGTACAGTCTTCATTTTTCCTTGTTGCTCAGAACTTTTTTTCATGTTTCATCAAAAATGTCACCAAGTAAACAAAATACTATTGGAACAAGAAACTGATTATTATGCAACATTGTCATTACGAGTCTTATTTAAAAAAAGCAAAGAAAAAGTTAATCCGTTTATCGTCATTATAATAATAATATTAATATTAGGATTATATCAATAAAAAAGAGGTATGCTGGTTGCTTGTCTATTGACAAACAGCATTTTTTTTTTCATTTTTCTCTTGTTCGCTACTTTGATGTCAAATGTATATTATTGTGTAATTGATGTCTACATAATTCGTCCATGCTTTTGATAATGAAGAGAAACAAGTAGACGCTTTTTCACTTTCTTTTTACATGGACGACGATTTTTGTGCACAAGGATTTCTTTTTGGATTTGTGCACGGGTTTGTGATTTTTGTACATAGTTTGCTATTTTCCGTGCACTACAAATCGTTTTACGCTTTTGTGCACAGTTACAGGAATGTGCACAGTTTTTCAACGTAACGATATTTTTGTCTTACATGAAAACGACCTGATCATATAGGATGATCTATGAACAAACGTGGTGCTTACTACAAATGTCTATAGTTTTTTCTAGTGTTTTTAGTCAGTTTTGTACAGTAGTAGTTTAAGACTTTAGTCAATACCGTAATTGGTAAAGAATACATCAATAGTTATCTTTGAAATTCATCGGATAAATCATCTTTGATATTTATTCAAACAAAAACGACGTATAAAAATTTCGTACAGAAAATGTGAAAGCTGGTACGATGATGACATATCACTGTTCGATGGGGAATACCAAAGAGGAAACGGTCTTACTTTCTATTTGCTTCTTTTGAATCAATACATATTAGGAATTCAAAAACGGATACATAATTAGATAACGGGAATATTTAATTAATTAGAAAAATTGTCCACATTTCTGTAACCGCGCATAAAACGTAAAAAGGTTCTTAGTGCACAGAAAATAGCAAACTGTACCCAAAACCCAAAAATGATAAACCGTGTACAAAAATCATTTTTACCTTTTTACATAGAGAGAAAGAATAGGACACATCATCACGATTATTCTTCACACATATATACATCTTCTCTCCCATATGATCACAACATTCTCCTATTCTCTGGATCATTTTGTTTTTCAAAATTATATATTGAAAAATTGTGTTATAGTCATGGTGACAAAGTGAAAAAAAATGATGAAAAAAGCTTTTACTTGTTTTCCTTTTTTTAATTTATTCAATCCTAAATAATTTCAAAGTAAGTGCTTAGACAAATATTGACTAATGTTGAAAGCTGCCCCAACTGTTCAGTGAATTTTTGACTGAAATACATTGAGATATATGTAATCAATGATATTGATTTCAAGGTCATTTTTAAGATCGATTCCTAAGAAACACGGTCTTTCAGTACGAAACTTGTACACTTTTGTTTGCATGTTACTCTTCGTACAACAAAAGATTTATGTTTCATCAAATGTTGCTCACATTAACGAGAAATTTCTATGTTCGAAATTTTTTTAATGCTAGTCCACTGTTGTTCTTATCAAATGATCGAACATGATGAGTTATCTGTATGGAAAGACTATCCAGGTCAATCGATAAGTTTTGATAATGTTTACAGATGCTTTAATTTTCAACGACCGCCTTAACACTTAAGGAACACAGTAGAAGACCGCCCTAAAATTAATGAACAATAGGACAGAATAGAAGACTCCGGGTCCTCTAATGTGTCCACTCCTTTACAAAAACTCCGTAAGGTCAAAACGCAGTCTGACTGCACGAGTGTTATTTTCCAGATATATAATAATAATAATAATATTAATAATGGCAACAAGTGAAATAAAAAAACAGTTAATTGAAATTGGCCCTGGATTCTGGAATATTCGTGGACATTTTAAAAAATTAGCCGGTTTAGTTGATATTGAAACACAAATGTCAATCATACGTTTAAAAAATGGTAATTTCATTATCATAGATACAATTCCAATAGATCAAGGATTAAAAATAGAAATTGATGAACTAACATCATATGGTGATCGAATTGAAGCTGTTCTTGCTACACATCCATTTCATACATTAGCATTTCCAGCATTTTATCAGTTATATCCCAAACCACCATATTATGGTACACCACGGCATCTTAGAAAGTTAACCGACATAAAATGGTTTGGAAACCTAATAGATCTACAAATAAGAGAAAAATGGGAACCGGATATTGAAATGAGAATACCTGCTGGTAAGTATAATACTTTTCTACATTGGGAAAAGATCTTTTGCTCCAGTTGCCATCATTAATCTGCAAATATAATTTTCTTTAAAAAATTTGAGCCGTATACAACTAATATCTTTTACTACTCAAGGATTACAACATCAAAACTGTCGCAAGTTCAAGTCTTGTTAGAAACTTATCTTTTTTCAAGAAGTTAAAACTGACAATAATAACGAAAAACCAGGCAGGAATTAATGAAATTCGTCGTAGGATTCAATAGATCAGAATTTGTCGCAAATCTTCATCGGGAAAAATCTTGACAGGGTGACTACAAAATAGAGCTATCGAGCCGTTCGACAGAGTTTGTCGAGTTATGTATGAGACATCGATTTTAATATTTTAAACTCGACTTATTCGAACTAAATATATTTTGTGTTAAAGCCGCTTTTTCGTTACAGAATAGCTCAAAGCTTAAAACTTTGAACTGGCGCGTACTACGCACGCAATCCTCGAGACTGCCTTTCTGTAAGTTTTCTCTTGACACAGTTGACAATATATATACTTTCCTTTAACCGCACTCAGCTCGCGTCTCTCATAGAGAAATTGTGACAATGAATTTGTCTTTTCTCTGGTTAAGCGTCAGGACGACGATTAGTGAGTGGATGGTTGACCACCACTGAATTATGTCGTTGACGTCTGACATATATATTCTCAACTGTGTTGAGTGAAAAGTAACAGAAAGACAGTCTCGAGGATTGCACGCGTAGTAAGGGCCAACTCAGGCTTCTAAGGCTTCAGATTTTCTGTAATGGAAAAGTGATTATAAAATATAATTTATTAAGCTTAAATATTCGTTTTTGCCGCAGACATACGTTTCATAGAGAATATTTTCATAAAAATTATTGAGGAACGGAACCATCATTACTGTTTATTTGACTATGTCATTATTTTTCGACTCTTTCTCTGCATAGTCATAGTATTCGATATTTACTAAGTTTGATGTTGGTTATAGGTGCTGAATTTATTGCTCCAGAGCCAGAAAAATCGAATCATTTTGTAAGTGTATTTGTTTATCATGGCCCCAGTCATACATTACACGTTGACGATACAATTATGTATTCACCAAATCCTAGTTTTCTGTTAAAAGTAGCTGGTTATAAACATGGGTACATATATTACTTGCTGTTGTAGCTTTTCATTTTCATGATCATTATTGTTATAGATCAATGATTTTTCAACCAGCTATCAAAAATCATGGTCTATATCCAACAGCTGATGCACCATATCACTTTCGTGATTGGATGCGTAAGATACTAAATGATTGGAATTTTGATAATATATGTTGTGCACATATGGGTATTAAAATAGGTGGTGCTAAACAACAAGTACAAGATATGTTAAATAAAGCTGAACCATTATTTCAAAAATTAAGTGAAAAAAATCAAAAACATAATCCACAGGGTGATTTAAAAGTAAAACAGAAACATGATGATAAAGAAGAACAACATGATGGTATGAATATAAGTGGAAATGAATGTGGTTGAAAAACAAATTGTTTACAAAAAGAAAAATCAAACAAACATTTTCGTTTTTTTTCAGTATGTAGCGTGTGCAAACCTTTTCTAAATAGGGTTAAACATTTGAAATTAAATACAATTTTTAGACAAATAAAACATTCTAGGATCGTGTCTTGTGGAAATTACATAGTGTACGTGAATTAATAGCTGAGTATACGCACCTTGGTACACGCCATGCGTTAATTCAAGCATTAACAAAAATTCTTTAGTACCAAACATAATTTATCAACACCAAACAGATCTCAAATCATGAAATTTGTTGGTAGAGCAGTTGGAAATAAGTATTTGTAAATCGAATATAGAACTGCTATGAATTCATAGCAGTTCTATATTCGATTTACAAATAAAGATCTCAAATCAATGGTCATGTGGAACGCTTTAATTCCACGCCAAATATTGTATCCAAGATAAAAAGTACTAATATAAAACTTAAAAAATCTGATCTAACTTCGTATTCATATCGACTTTTCAAAAAAGATAAAAAAGATTGGAATGAACAAATAGAAACATTATAAATACTTACAACAATAGAACTAATTCCATTTAATTGTGTATCACAATTAAAGATCATTAAAAAGAATATTAATTTTTCCATTTGATAGATCTAGACAACTTGTATCTGAGAAAAAGTTTTGCCAACGTGGCCAAATGCATCTTAGAGAAATCGGATTCCTTTCAGAAAATAAGAAATCCATGCGACTTTTAGCTTTATATAAAAGATCATCTAGTTTTACAACAAACACAAAATGCTTTTACAACTGCTCTTCTCCCGATATTTAGATCGGCCTGCGAAAGGCGAATCAGATGGTATATAGTTAAGTCCAATATATTTATATTTTTGGCTGAAATAGCAACACGTTTAAGAAGCGTGGCATCTTCTGGAGCGATTTGCGTCTTTCTCCTGACATTCAGCATGGAAAAGAGATTTTTAGAACGTGAATTTTACCAGGCCTAGCTGTTGCTTTGAAAATAACTTACATCATGTTAGTACTTTTCTTTCTGAATGTCTATTTGGGGATAAAAACTAACTGTAACTTAATCTCAAAAATTGTTTCAATACGTATGACCTTTTTCTAACTTTATTCTGTTCTTTAGAAACATCAGTTGAAATAAAACGAGCGAGTAAAGCTTTGCCAAGCGATACCAGCGGCGACAAGAAACAGTAATATCCTCAGCTGAAAACAGACGAGATAAAATGATTGTCCCAATCACTTGTTCAAGGGTTATTTCTAGTACTCATCGCACCCCCTGAACGATTTTTTTGGCATGCATGGGGCTATATCATTGAAATTCAATTCAATTGGTTCCTGTATTCTATGATATAGTAATCAAAGATTCAGTATTTCTAGTGGGACAATATGGAAGTTGAACAAATGTCATAGATCAGCTGCAAAAAACATACGAAGAAAACTGTGGTAAAAAAATTGTACCGTTATTAGGTGTGCATTGTATCCTGGATTTCTCAGTCACATAACGCATAGTTTATTCAAGGTTTCGATTTTGAATAAACTATTATAAAAATGATACTTTTTGAGAAAAATTTATTTATATTTATTGTACTGTACACAGAACAAAACAGCAAAAAAAGATCAGGAAATATAACAGACAATAGAGAAGATATGATAGGTTGAGTTGCAGTAATGAGCAACAACACCGGAGGAAAAACAAGGTTGAAGAGAAGTACATAAAAGTGTCGAAATCTGCTCTTTAGAAGCTTATAGAAGCTTGCCGATCGAATTATCCCGTTTTACAAAATAATCATCAATCCAAAAACTTCTATTACTTATTCCATTGACTGCAATTCTATGGTCATATGAAATAAATTGTTTGTGTGTTTGTCTGTAGCTATGATGTACGTACATACATACAGTCATGTGGCAGTGTGGTGAACGTACATACAAAGAATCACTAACGAGTGTCACGGACATAGATCGACATGGGTACATCCGATACATCTGGGTACATGCGGGTTTTCTGTGGAATCAGAGAAGTGTATTTGTATCTATGCTGCGAGTGTGGACCGAAGGGACGCGTGAGCATTGTCTCGAATATAGAAATATTTTTAGACGCATGGGGTTCTTTGTGGAATCTTGAAAAAACTTTCATAGATTTAAACTACATTGTTAAACTGACACATCAAATCAGAGAAATATTCATAACGCATTGTAGATAGACCCTGGCGAACACCGACCGCTAAATATTGCCTTCACTTAGGTTCTGTTATCAAGGTTTACTCCCCGATCTGCTTTTGGAATTTCGACATTTATGCAAACGGAATTTCTGTTTTGGCATTTCGGCAGATTTTGGCAAAAGCAGGAATTCATTTGGAATTTCTGCTTTTACAGTAATTCTTTTAAAATTTCGACAGCTGTCGAAATTCCGAATATTTTTGGAATTTTGACAATTAATTCGCCAAAAATATAATAGTATCAGTGGAATTTCGAAAAAATTTTGGTTAGGCCGTTAATGACATCTAGTGTTTGTTGTATATACTGTCGTCGAAGGACGTAGTGGAATTTCGACAAAACTCTCTACTTGATGGGAAAAACGACTATTTATCGGCGTTAAAAGAAAAATATAGAAGAAATAACAAAAGAATGATGCTAAGAAGTAAATAGTAATAGAACTAAAATGAAAAGATGATATGATACAGGGGAGTGAATACTGAAAATAAATGATAAAGGAATAAAATGGAAGTTAAATACATGAAGATGGTAACAGGGGAGTGAATGAGCGAAAGCGAACGATAAAGAAAAAGATACAGAAGAACACTATAGAAAGGAAAGAAAACATACACATATATAAGAGAATATTTTAATAAAAAATTGAAAAAACAAGATGGTGATAGTGCTGATTAGGTGTGGTGATGCAATATTAGCTATTAATGCAACTGTATTTATAAACTTATTGTGACACACGAGAAATTGTTTCTCTGTTTATGTGTATTCTTTAAATTTAATTAATTATTCTTCGAAAATTTGAAATGAATTTTTTGTTATTGTACGACAGTAGTGTCTATAATAGTAGTTTTTGTTGAATAAATATTGCTAAATTTACTCCCTATTAAACTAATTGCCATTACATTAATTAAGCCATGATATTACTTTTGACTGTATTGGAATTTCGACGATGTTGTCAGAACTCCAATAATTTCCGGAATTTCGACAACGCCGTCAAAATTCCCAAATAATTTCTAAATTCACGGAAATTTCGCTGCAACTTTGACGTGTCGAAATCCAAAGCAGATCGGCGAGTGTAACGTTATCAAAAGTAAAAAGACCGAGAGATTTGGTAATATTACGTCCATTTCGAAATTCTGTATCACAGATAAAGCCAAACCAAAGTATAAAGACTCGATGAACTACACAAATTGGCTAAACAACGTTATGACGCTTTCAAACTTTTGAGAGTCACATAACCTGTGAACTCATGCTGATTCGATAGATTTGACTTTTGTTTCGTACTTGACTTCGAAACGCGTAGTCACTCTGATAAACTTTTCTAACCGGAGAAAAGCTATAGCAACTGCTGTAACTAGCTGTAAACTAAGGTGGAAAATACGAACGCTCTCATAAATATATGAGAGAAATATCACTCAATTCTGTAGTAACAAGATCGAGTTACAACAAAATGAATAATACTCCCGATAGTACATTCATTCGACTTACAGGCAATGGACTTAGTGAATCACATCGATTCATGTTATTTATTTGTAATTCTAGGCTTTTTGTGATGTATATTATCAAATTTCACGCTGCAGGCGTCGTTTTAAAAATAAACTTGTTTTCTATTCACTTAAAGTAATTTCCTTGACGGAAATAGTTCTATGAACACTCAAGACTCTCAAATGATAGGTATGTGTAATGCTTTAGGGTGGGTGTTTTCTTGATGAATTGACAAAATTATACCGAATCATTATTTACACCATTTCCTGAAACTGAACATATTTTATATGTCATTCTTTTCATTTCCTGTCAGAAAAGTATAGAAGCAGATTGTCTGTTGAACAAAAAGTAAGAACGTTTAAAATAACATAAAAATGGTATTTAATTTAAGACAATTCTTCTATGATTTAAATTTAATTCTTATCGATGGTACGAATTTGGGAGAGCAGTTGACCGTTTATTTTATCACAAAGGCAGATGACAACTCTGACCAATATCATGAGCGATTATTCTTTTTCATCTTGTTCTGTATCGGAGCTACCGCTTGCTTCATAGGAATAACATCCAGTGAACGAATAAAAATCATCTTAGCACTATCAATTGAATCGAGCGAATTATTTGCCTATCTCTTGCTACTGCCACACTCGCGTCTTCTTACCATTGTTGCTGCTGGATTGTTTTGCGTCGAAACCGTATTACACATTATGAATTTCAGCATTGCGACTGTCAAGACGAGTAATCACGATTTTAACCTAGACGATAAAGTCTCATGTCGTCGGAACACAATGAAAGTCTTTATTAATTTACGATATTATCTTATATGTAGTCTGCCACTAATTTTATATTTATTTCTAAATCCAAATTCACTTTTTCGTCATACTTATTTCGAAATTTTGACAACATTAGACTTTTATCTTATGCTGATATTACATGACATTTATAAACAAATTATTCGATATTCGCAGGTGCAACACACCGGTGGAAATTTTTTTAAATATTTCATTGCACAGCTTCAGTGCGGCGGTCACACTAAACTGTATACGTATTGGAATCTTGTTCTATACGTTGCTTCGGTATCAATGATATTCCTTGTTTCAATCAGCAGCATAGTGCTTTCGTCAATTGAATTAACAACATCTAAGAATAACCTATCGAAGTACGAATTCACTGTGTACATTACAAGTATCATTGTGTACAGTTTATTCTTACTAGTTATTCCGCTATTAACCTATTCATTCCATTCAAACTATTTCAATCGATCGAGTTTTCTTTTACAGCTGAGTCAAACTGAAAACGTGGTTG